GAACCAGACCTGCGGAGCAGTCGCAAGATTTGTTGTGGTCAGGGGTAGAATCAATTCCCCACCGCTCATCAGCAAAGACACCCTCATAGAGCTAGGTATGCTACAGATCCGCGAAGATGGCTCTTTCGCCGAGACCAATGACCTGAGAATCCGGGAAGAGTTGCCAGACATCAAGAGTGTCAAGCAAGCTGTAATACTCAATCCCGAAATCAAAGCAATCACTGATCGATACAGCGATGTATTCAAGGGCATTGGGAAGATACGAGACATCAAGAATGGAAAAGAGTTCTATGCTAAATTCAGCATGAGACCAGAAGCTGCTCCTGTAGCCCAGAAACCAAGACCAGTCGCATATTATTTGCAAGATCCCTTAAAGAAATGGCTTGAACAGTGTGTAGAAGAGGAGATATTTGAAGAGGTGCCTGAATCCAGAAAAGTCGCTACCTTCAGCACACCATGGGGGAACATGCGACCAAAACGTCTAATCTTTGGAGCAAAAGCATCGCAAGACCTCTTTGATGAAGCTATCTACCGAATTTTCGGAGACATACCAAGGTGCCTCAACCAGCGCGATGATATCCTGATAGGAGGGAAAGACATAGAAGAACACAACAAAACATTGGAAGCCGTTCTGCAGAGAGCAACAGACTTTGGTGTCACTTTCAACCCTGAGAAGTGCCAATTCGGAGTGGAAGAGATAGAGTTCTACGGGCACAAGTTCACGAAGAACGGATTAAAACCAAACCCAGAGAAGGTCAGAGCCGTGAAGGAAAGCAGCCCACCAGAATCGAAAGAAGCTGTGCGAAGCTTTCTTGGCATGACTGGGTATTTATCAAAGTTCATCCCCAAATACGCATCACTAACCGCACCTTTGAGACAGCTGACCCACAAAGATACGAAGTTCAAATGGGGAGCAGAAGAGAATGAAGCATTTGAGAAGCTCAAAGCAAGCATAACAAGTGAAAGCACAATGGTGTACTTCAACCCAGCCAAAGCTATTGTTGTGAGAGTTGAAGCCAGCTACCATGAAGGACTATCAGCCGGATTATTCCAGGACACAGGCAATGGCCTACAGCCAGTCCACTTCATTAGCCGCAGCATGACTGACACCGAGAAAAGATACAGTCAGACAGAGAAAGATGCCCTCTCCATACATTGGGCAAAGAACAGACTCAGCATTTACCTTCTGGGAGCGCCAAAATTCAAGATCATCACAGCTCACAAACCATTACTTCTATTGTTTAACAAGGCAGCCATGCGACTTCCACCAAGAATAGAAAAATGGGTAATGGGAATGCAAGATGTCGACTTTGAGCTAATCTATGAACCTGGAAAGGATGAAGCCGATCCACTTGACTTCCTGTCGAGACACCCTTTGCCAGAAACTGGAAAGGATACCATAGAGAGAGTGATCAAGTACACGGTGACAGCCGAACATGCTGTTGTTGTAGATCACATCAAGGAAGAAACTCTCAAAGACACCCAGCTTCAGAAACTTTCCACCAGAATACTCACTGGAGATTGGGAACAACACAAGAAGGACCCAGACATTGCACCATTTTATAGTGTACAGAATGAGTTGTACGTAGTCAATGACCTAATCTTCAGGATGAATCAGATCATTGTCCCAACAAGCCTACAGAGAAAGGTCATCAAGGCAGCACATCACCTGGGACACCTGGGAATGACAAAAACAAAGCAGATGTTAAGAGCAAGGTATTGGTTTCCAACCATGAACAACATGGTAGAGCAGATCATCGGTCAATGTTACGAATGTCAGGTAACCACGAAGCAGCACAGACAGGAACCCATCAAAACCACAGACATACCAAAGAAACCCTGGGATGTCATATCTGTAGACTTCAGCGGACCTTATCCTGACGGTCATTATAACCTAGTGGCCATTGACAAGAGAACAAGGTACCCTGAAGTCATGAAGACTCACTCGACAGCATTCCAGCCGACCATGGAAAAGCTCAAAACCATGTTCGCCACTCATGGGACTCCAAGACAGCTACAAAGCGATAATGGACCACCATTTAACTCCAAAGAATTTGCAGAGTTTGCCAAAACAGAGGGATTCCACCATCACCGAGTCACCCCAGAACACGCACGTGCTAACGGAGAGGCGGAAAGCTTCATGAAACTACTAAATAAGACTGAGCAGATCGCTCGTCTCAATGGGGGAAAAAGCAGTGTAGCTGTTCAAGAGATGCTGACAGGCTATCGCTCAACAACGCAACCTGCTACTGGCGTGCCACCATATGAAGCCCTAATGAACAGACAGATCAGAACCAAACTAGATCACCAAGCGAGGGAGTGCAATGAGAATCCCCGTGACACAGCCATCGACAAGCGGGATGAGAAATACAAAGATAAGATCAAACAGAATGCCGAGAACAGGAACACCAAAAAGCACAATTTCTTAGTCGGAGATCATGTCCTGTTGAAACAGAAAAAGAGAAACAAATGGTCGACCGCATTTGAAGCAGCATTCTACAGAGTAGCTCGAATAGACGGATCAAGCATTGCAGCAAAAAGGATCACAGATGGACGCGAAGTATACCGTGACGCAAGCCAGTTCAAGATTGCTAACTCACTAATCCAGGAAAACACTAGCGAAGAAAATGAAGACCAGGAAGAACAAAAGAACCAAGAGGATTGGAGAGAGAAGATTCTACTGAATGCCAACCCTCGCTCAGTCCAGGAGGAGACTAAGGAAAGCAGCGCAAAGGAAGCAGCTAAAACCAACACCAGTGACAAAGCGGACCAGAGCAAACAACCTATGCCAGCAGCTGCGACCAGACCAAGGCGTGATCGAAAACGTCCAGAGTATTTGAAAGACTTTGTCGCCTAAAGACTGTACTTTAACTGTACCTAACATGGAACAGAAAGGACTGTGCTTTAAAATAGCATGCCTAGTCTAAGTTAGGACACATGTTTTAAGTTGCGTTATTTTTCACTTAAGGAAGAGACTATCTCGAAAGAAAAGGAGAAATGTAATATCCAGTCCAGTATCCCGAGATTTGCAACATAGTTCAGTTCGCACATGCGCATTAGCAACACTTTGCATTACCACGTTGTCAGCTCGAGTCGGAGAAGTTTGTTCTATAAAAGCATTGTTTATACTGAGAAGACTAGCGGTTGTTACACAAAATGGCACGAGTTTTCTTCAAATCTGGTCGGTTTTGAATCTTTACAAAATCCTCCATTCTCAAACAATTAACCTCTGATCCGCTATCAATCTGCATGGTGACCTCAATCCAATTACTTGTCTGTCGGCTTCTCAGCTGAGGTTCAATAATGTATTTAGAGCAGCTGCTGTCCATAACTGAATACTTGCAGTAAACTTCATCATCAGTGATTGCTGGTTCGACTTCTTCGATTCGATGAATTCTCCTCGTGGGTTTCTTGGAAAAGCTCTTCACAGGTTTCTGTGTTCTCCTGTGAGACTCTTGATCTCGACTTCTGCACATCTAAGCAAAATGATTCATCATGTTACACTTTCTGCATTTTTTTCCATAAGCCGGACACTGGTGCAAATTGTGGTTCGTTCCACAATATTTACATCGTTTCACCGTTTCTACTCGTCGTGTAAAGTCTGGTTTCTTTTCTTTGTACTTGACAGCGTGTTCTGAAGTTTCTATTCCTCCATCAACCTTTTTCAGTTGATCGCTGGCTGTTTTTGCAGCTCTAGTTATGTCTAAGGCTGTATTGAGAGTGAGAGCCTTATCACGGAGTATTCGTCTTCTGACTTCATGGCTTTTGATTCCAATGACCAGTCTGTCTGGAATCAGTTCGTCACACAGAACGTCATAAGTACAGATTGACGCTAGTTTTCGCAGTCTGTTCAGGTATTGATCGATGTTTTCATTTTCTTGGTTGGCATTCTTCAACAGGTAACGCTCAAAAAAATAATATTCCTCTGTGGTTCAAAATGCTGCATCAGGGCCTGTAAGAAACTATCAGGATCTGTGCGATCAGCTACAGGCAGATTTTTAGCTATTTGGTAAGTTTCTCTTCCCAAAAGTATCTCAAGAGTTTCCAAAATGACTGGTGTGGGTCTCCTATCAAGTTCAGTTGCTATCTTATAGCTCTCCCAACTCTCTCTGAAAAAAGTCCAGTTCTCTACCAGGTTCCCCTTGAGACTCATTACTGGTGGCTTTGGTAACTGATTGTACATCATCATCTGTGTTGGTGGCACAATAGGTTGCGCTAGAGGTGCTTCTGGAGGATTCTCTTGCACCGGAGGGTCCTCTTGATCATCCATCCTGTTAATTCTTTTGTTGTCCTCGTGAGACGTTCGCTAAGTGTAAGCTAGGCTCTTGCCTTTCGCAGAAATGCAGTTTCTTCAATGTGTGAACCTCGAAATTCACTTAAAATTTCACAAGTGGCAGTGTTAAGGCTTCCGGTCTGTCCAATAACACCGCTGGATTCTTTTAGCGCCCGCGATTAATTCTTCTGTCTTCGCTTGGATCGACAAAAGGTATCTTCAGTTTTGTAATCCACTTCCTGACACCATGAAGTGTGGACGTCTTGTATTCTGCAGCATACACCTTTATTGATATTTGTCGGGCTATAGCAGCAACTAAACTACTCGCTACATCTAGTTACAAGCTCGGCTTTTATAGGTACGGTTGAGGATCTAGAACGTTCCGTAACATTACATCAGATTCTACTTATATATTGATTCGGGGATGACTCAACATGATACAGCTACTTCTAGAATATTCTTGAAGGTCACAGTACATCCTCTCTTCTTTACAAAGACTGACGAACAGTTCATTAAGGAAATCACGAGAAGTCACATTGCCTATTGCAGTCTATTAAATGTCTCTAAGGTTATTTACACAGAACGAAGTCTTTATACTTTGAGTTTGGCTTGACTTGTCTCTGTGATCTTCTTACACCTTGTCAAATTGGTACTGGTTCTGATTTTGATTTAATTTTTATGTCACTCAACTTCATTTGTCCTGTTTCAATGTTGACTTCAGGTACTTCTATGAAGTTTGGCTGTGGGGCGGTCGGCAAGGCTGCATCTGACTTTGTGGGTGGCCCACAGGAGAGTCTAAAGAAGGGTCTGTAACAACGAGTTTGGGCGTTGTCATTTCTCTAGTTTTCCTGATGTGACACCGATTCCTCTTGTACTCACGGCCATTGGCCTTGACTATATAGGATCTGTCAGATTCTGTTCTGACCACACTTCCTTGTGTCCACAGGGACGACGACTGAGGCCTGATCTTGGCGCGAATACTATCTCCTACAACAAGAGGGTGTAGCGGCTTTGCTTTCGTATCATGGTACCTCTTGTTCTATTGCTTCTTCTTGACTGAAGCTCGTATGATGCTTGAGGTTGGTATCACCTGGGGTTCAAGTAACTCTGATTTCATTGGTATAACTGTTCTTGTTCTTCTGGAATTCAATTTCTCATTTGGTGATGCCAACTCATCAGGTGTATTCCTTTGTTCCAAAATAGCTATCCAGGGGTCGTGAATCACCTTGAGTATCCTCTTAGCTTGTTTGAGTGCAGCTTCCGCTGTACCGTTTCCTTTTGGATGGTGTGGTGAAGAGGTATAGTGATGAAAGTTCCAACTCTTTGAAAACTCCTTAAGTTCCTTGCTAGCATATTGAGGACCATTGTCTGATATCACCACCTCAGGGAATCCTTGCCGGGGGAAAATCTTCTTCATCTGTAAGATTGTGGACTCAGCATCAGTATCATTCAGTTGCTCTAAGTTCCAGTATTTTGTGAGATTTTCCACAACTACCTTGTAGACGTCTTTCTTCACATTGAAAAGATCAGTGCTGACTATATGCCATCTTCTCTTTGGAATAGGCTGGCTCTGCATGGCTTCTCTAGGTTGATCTGGCTTAGCTTCCTGACATATTGAACAGATATCGCAGAGATATTTGATATCATGATGAATCGATGACCAATACAACGTATCACACGCAAGTCTCATGCATCCCTCTGCTCCTAGGTGAGCGGAGTGTATTTTTTCTAACATCTGTGGGCGTATAGCCGTGGGAATGAGCACTCTCGTTCCTCTGTAGATTATTCCATCCTGAACTGCTAGTTCATCTCTTAACGGCCAGTAGTCTCGGACATTGGGCGGTGCTTGCGTCTTGTCCTCAGGCCATCAATTAGCTATAACGTCAGCTAAGGTCATGAGAGTTTCATATTTTGAGGTTGCTGTTATTACTTTCTGAAGGGTTGTATCTGTCATGTTATGAAAGATATTTGGATCTGTTCCTTCGATCTCTTTCACGGGAAGTTCTTCTGCGTGAATTGTAAAGACTTCATAATCATCTATTTCCTTCTTTTGCGTTCGGCCGTTTGGGAGGGCAGATCTTGACAGATGATCACTTATGTACATCTGAGTTCCCTTTTTGTACACAATATTCAGGCGGTACTTTTGCAGTCGCAGCATCATGCGTTGTAGCCTCTTGGGCGCGCTGTTGATACTTTTGGCAAGTATGGTTTCTAGAGGCTTATGATCTGTGACTGCTGTAATCTTTTCTCTTCCATGGAGATGGTGGTCAAATCGTGTACAACCAAACACCAGTGCAAGGCATCCCTTCTCGATCTGAGAGTAACGTCTCTCAGTCTCAGTCATAGTGCGACTAGCAAATGCCACTGGTCTGCCGGCTTGAAGTAGAACAGTTACTAGTCCATAGTCATTTGCATTTGTCTCAATTGTTACTTCTTCCTCCAAGTTGTAGTAACGGAGTAGTGGCGGTTCTGAAATCAGCTGAGTCAACTTGTTAAAGGCATCTTGGTGAACTTTCGACCAAATGAATTGGTTTTGCTTCTTGATTAGGTTTCTGAGAGGTTCAGATACGTCAGACAGCTGAGGTAAAAATTTGCCCAGATAATTGATCATTTCAAGTAGTCTTTTCACTTCAGTCTTACTGCGTGGTATCGGCATCTGAGTGATGGCTTCAACTTTGGCTGGGTCTGGTAAAATACCCTCAGAAGTCAAGATATGACCACAATACTTCAACTTCTGTTGTTTGAAGACGAACTTGTCCTTGTTCATTTGAAGTTTCGCTCACTGAATCTCTGTAGCAACGAAATCAGATTTCTGTCATGGTCTGCCAAGGCTTCTTCATGGGTGTTTCCTGCTCCAGTTACCAACAGGTCATCAGCTATAGCAGTTATTCCTTCCAGGCCCTCAATGATTTCATTTACATGTTTCTGAAATTCTTCTGGTGTAACTACCAAAAGGAGTGTGAAATGTTGTTAATTTGCTAGAGTCCTCATCTAGCTTCACTCGCAGAAACCCATCTTTAGCGTCTAGGACTGTGAACACTTGCGCTTTAGCAAGCCTGGAGGTCACATCATGAATGATTTGAAGGCAGAGCTTTGGTATTTTGACATGCTTGTTCAATTCTCTGGGATCCAGGCAAACAGGTAGTTGGCCATTGCGCTTTTTCACATATACTGCACTGCTCTGTGCAGTATATGTGGCCTCTGTGGCCTTTCTGCTCCATTTCATGAAGTTTCTTTTTGAGATCGTCTCTCAGTGTGACGGGTACGGTTCTATGCTTATCTTGTTTCGGTACTGCTCCTTCTGTGAAGGTCACACTACAATAACAAATGCTCTACCAGCTGAGCTGAGACGAAATGTAGGGCGACCTTTTTATGAGATTACACATGAAAGGTGTGAAATAATAATTTCGGGTCGACTTTCATGAGGATTCAAACCTCAGATCTACCGATGTTGCTGTTAGGTACTCTACCTGCTGACCGATGCAAAGGTCATGCACAAGAAATAATCAGCTGTGTCGACGACCATGAGGCTTCAAACCTTAGACCTTAAAACTTCGTCATCTGCTCTACCACGGCTGGGCAGAAGAAGAAATTTGGGTGGACATTCTTGAGGATTCATACCTCATTGTAGTCAACAATGCTACAAAATGTTCGCACAGCTGAGTATAGAAAGGCAAATGTTCTGGGTAAACTTGCGTGAGGATTCAAACCTCAGATGGAGCAATATTGGTATCACCTGCTCTACCTACTGTGCAGAAAAAACTTTGTGGATCGACGTTTATGAAACGAAAATGGCTGGTCGACGTTCAAGAGGATTCAAACCTCAGATCTACCGATGTTGCAGCCTGATAATATATCTGGTGACGTTTACGAATCTCGCGCATTTATTGTTTTTATCTCACACTAACAATTTATTGTTTGTTTCTTGAGTATGCCATGAAAAGGTTTTTCAGATGCAGTTATTGCGGTGAGCCATTTAGTGGACCAATCAACAGAGCTTTACCTGTAATAAGAGCTGCTTAGATGTTTCGGTAAGGATTGGATAAGAGATATTTGAAAATTCATCAAGTACGGTTGAGCCGTTCAAGTCAGTTCATCTGCAAATATATTTCAAGGACTATCATGAAATGTCTATTTCTGGAAATGGAGTAAGATTATAGTCAGAACCATTTTAAGCCTAACATTTAACACGATGAAAGAAATAACGGAGAATGATAAAACTCACAACAAAACATACGAATTAAATTTAAACAAAGAAACGCTTGAATATAATAAAACATCCCTGTCTGATTAAAGGAAAATTATCGTAGAATGACACTCGATGTGCTTCAAATAGAAAAGATATGCAGCTTGTGAATTAGACATATTTCCTCCCTCATTTAAATTTCTAGTAATTTAATCATGTTTATTTCTCAATGAGTCCCCCTTTCTGAAGGTTTAATATCAAGTCATATAAAACAGAAAGAGAATGAGTTTAGGATATTTCGATTTTATGTGGAAGTCTGGAAACACAAGTCATTTACTTAAAGCTCTCTTGTTTCTTTTTCAGCTCAAGGATCGTGTTTCTGTAAAGGAAATTGCACTCTGAGACGACAAGGTGCATCACAGAGATCAAAGGTGCCATTGATAGGATAGTAAAAGAAAAAAAAAGGCAATCTGAGTCCCTTGTGAGGATTCGAACCTCAAGCAGTCCGCCCATGAAAGGCGATCCTAGCTGGGTGGAAAGTTTCGTGCGTTCCACTCAGTGCTTGTCTATTTTCGCGTCCCGAGGAGAGGTGCAGTGCAGATTGCCCATACTTCGGTCTTACCCTCTGGTACCTCGGCGTGAGCTCGTATCGCTTTTGCTTTTGTTTTTTTTATTTATCTTTCTTTTGTTTTTGATATGAGCAATAAGCCGTTAAATAGGTCTCAAACCCGGAGGCCAGACCCATTTCGGTTGTCGGCTGTAACCACCAGAGGACTGTGTCTTTATTCAAGCGGGGATTGCATTTCTCCTTTCTCCGGTATATTTGACATCCAAAGTCAAAGGAATACAAAAACCATTGCCGGTCCACCTTAACTATAAAGAAAGAGACAAATTGGTCTCTGCATAACTCAATGATGGCGACTGAAGCTTCCAGAGCTTAACTTGAGAGGGACCACAAGGATTAATCAATCCAAAATATCTCTCGGGGAAGTTGCTCATCACTGTATTAGGTAAGCAAAAAAAGCAACAACTTAGTCAACTTCCATAAGGATTCCAACCTTAGACCATAAAACTTCGCTATCTGCTTTACCAGATGGACAGATGAAGAAATTTGGGTGGACATTCGTGAGGATTCAAACCTCATTTTAGTCAACAACGCCAGAAAACGCTCGCACAGCTGAGTATAGAAAGGCAAATTTCTGGGTAACTGTACTTGAGGATTCAAACCTCAGATGGAGCAATATCAGTATCATATCCTCTACCGACTGAGCAGAAGATAAAGTGTGTCGATCTTTGCAAAATGAAAATGTCTGGTCGGCTCTCACGAGGATTCAAACCTCAGATCTACACATGTTGCTGTCTGATAATGTATCTGCTGACGTTTACGAATCTCGTACAGTTATTGTTTCTGTATCACACTAAAAATTGTATGTTGTTTGCTTCTTGAGTATGCCATCAAAAGGTTTTTCAGATGCAGTTATTGTGGCCAGTCATTTAGTGGACCAATCAACAGAGCTTTACCTATAATGAGAGCTGCTTAGCTGTTTAGGTAAGGATTGTACAATAGATATTGAAAATTCATTAAGTATGGATGAGCTGTTCAAGTCAGTTAGTGGGTCACCTTTAAGTAACGATTTAAAATGCATCTGAAATTTTGAATTTAAACTGCAAGTACATTTCAAGGACTATCAAGAAAGGCTTATATCTGGAAAAGAAGAAAGATTAGGGTCAGAACCCTTTTAAGCCTAACATTAACACGATAAAAAAAAAAGTTTTAAATTCCTAGTAATTTTTTCATATGTTTATTTCTCAATAAGCTTACCTATTTTTGGAAATTAAGTATTAAGTAATTTACAACAGAAGGTGAATGAAATTTAGAGATTTTGATTTTCTGTGAAGGTGTATAAACATAAGTCATTAACTTGAAGCATTCTTATTTGTTTTTCAGCTCAAGGATCGTGTTTCTGTAAAAGACATTTCACTCTCAGGCGACAAGTTGGATCAAAAATCACAAGGTACCGCATATTAGATAGTAAAAGAAAAATCATGACAATCTGAGTCCCTTGTGAGGATTCGAACACTCTTGGACATTATTGAGAATTCAAACCTCATTATAGTCAACGTCGCTACAAAACGTTCTCACAGCAGAGTAGCAAGACAAATTTGTGGTGAATGCGGCAGAAGAAGAAATTTGGGTTGACATTCGTGAGGATTCAAACCTCATTATAGTCAACATGGCCACAAAATGTTCTCACAGCGGAGTAGAAGAAAAGATTTAGGTTAATTGAGGTGAGGATTCAAACCTCATAGTTCGCAATATCGGTAACTGAAGTGTGGACGTCTTGTATTCTGCAGCATACACCTTATTGATATCTGTCGGGCTCTACCAGCAACTAAACTACTCGCTACATATAGTTAGAAGCTCAGCTTTTATAGGTACGGTCGAGGATCTAGAACGTTCTGTAACATTACAGCAGATTCTATTTAAATATTGATTCGGGGATGACTCAGCATGATAAAGCTACTTCTAGAACATTTTTGAAAGTCACACTACATCCTCTCTTCTTTACAAACCGACGAACAGTTTATTAGGTAAATCACGAGAAATCACATTGCCTATTGCAGTCTATTAAATGTCTCTAAGATTATTTACACAGAACGAAGTCTTTGTACTTTGAGTTTGGCTTGACTTGTCTCTGTGATCTTCTTACGCCTTTTCGAATTGGTACTGGTTCTGATTTTGATTTAACTTTTATGTCACTCAACTTCATTTGTCCTGTTTCAATGTTGACTCCAGGTACTTCTATGAACTTTGGCTGTGGAGCAGTCGGCAAGGCTGCATCTGACTGTGTGGGTGGACCCACAGGAGAGTCTAAAGAAGGGTGTGTAACAACGAGTTTGGGCATTTTCATTTCTCTAGTTTTCCTGATGTGACACCGATTCCTCTTGTACTCACGGCCATCGGCCTTCACTATGTGGGATCTGTCAGATTTTCTTCTGACCACACTTCCTCGTGTCCACAGGGGCGACGACTGAGGCCTGATCTTGGCGCAAATACTATCTCCTACAACAAGAGGGTGTAGCGGCTTTCCTTTCTTATCATGGTACCTCATGTTCTGTTGCTTCTTCTTGACTGAAGCTCGTATGATACGTGAGGTTGGTATCACATGGGGTTCAAGTAACTCTGATTTCACTGGTATAACTGTTCTTGTTCTTCTGGAATTCAGTTTCTCATTTGGTGATGCCAACTCATCAGGTGTATTCCTTTGTTCCAAAATAGCCATCCAGGGGTCGTGACTCATCTTGAGTATCCTCTTAGCTTGTTTGAGTGCAGCTTCCGCTGTACCGTTTCCTTTTGGATGGTGTGGTGAAGAGGTATAGTGATGAAAGTTCCAACTCTTTGAAAACTCCTTAAGTTCCTTGCTAGCATATTGAGGACCATTGTCTGATATTACCACCTCAGGGACTCCCTGCCAGGGGAAAATCTTCTTCATCTGTAAGATTGTGGACTCAGTGTCAGTATCATTCATTTGCTCTAAGTCCCAGTATTTTGTGAGATTATCCACAACTACCAGGTAGACGTCTTTCTTCACATTGAAAAGATCAGTACTGACTATTTCCCGTCTTCTCTTTCAAGTAGGCTGGCTCTGCATGGATTCTCTTGGTTGATCTGCTCCATTTCATGAAGTTTCTTCCTGCAATCGTCTCTCAGTGCGATGGGTACGGTTCTAGGCGCATCTTGTTTCGGTACTGCTCCTTCGTCAGTTGATCTAGCTTCCTGGCATTGAACAGTTATCGCAGAGATATTTGATATCATGATGAATCGATGGCCAATACAATGTATCTCTCGCGAGTCTCATGCATCCCTTTGCTCCTAGGTGAGCGGAGTGTGTTTATTCTAACATCTCTGGGCGCATAGCCGTGGGAATGAGCACTCTCGTTCCTCCGTAGATTATTCCATCCTGAACTGCTAGTTCATCTCTATACGGCCAGTAGTCTCGAACATTGGGCGGTACTTGCGTCTTGTCCTCAGGCCATCCATTAGCTATAACGTCAGCTAAGGTCATGAGATTTCCATCTTTTGAGGTTGCTGTTATTACTTTCCGAAGGGTTGTATCTGTCATGTTATGAAAGATATTTGGATCTGTTCCTTCGATCTCTTTCATGAGAAGTTCTTCTGCGTGAATTGTAAAGACTTCGTAATCACCTATTTCCTTCTTTTGCATTCGGCCGTTTGGGAGGGCAGATCTTGACAGATGATCACTTATGTACATCTGAGTTCCCTTTTTGTACACAATATTCAGGCGGTACTTTTGCAGTCGCAGCATCATGCGTTGTAACCTCTTGGGCGCGCTGTTAATACTTTTGGCAAGTATGGTTTCTAGAGGCTTATGATCTGTGACTGCTGTAATCTTTTCCCTTCCATGGAGATGGTGGTCAAATCGTGTACAACCAAACACCAGTGCGAGGCATTCCTTCTCGATCTGAGAGTAACGTCTCTCAGTCTCAGTCATAGTGCGACTAGCAAATGCCACTGGTCTGCCGGCTTGAAGCAGAACAGCTCTTAGTCCATAGTCACTTGCATTTGTCTCAATTGTTACTTTTTCCTCCAGGTCGTAGTAACGGAGTAGTGGCGGTTCTGAAATCAGCTGCGTCAACTTGTTAAAGGCATCCTGGTGAACGTTCGACCAAATGAATTGGTTTTACTCCTTGGTTAGGTTTCTGAGAGGTTCAGATACGTCAGACAGCTGAGGTAAAAACTTGCCCAGATAATTGATCATTCCAAGTAGTCTTCTCACCTCAGTCTTACTGCGTGGTATCGGCATCTGAGTGATGGCTTCAACTTTGGCTGGGTCTGGTAAAATACCCTCAGAAGTCAAGATATGACCACAGTACTTCGACTTCTGTTGTTTGAAGACGAACTTGTCCTTGTTCAGTTTGAAGTTTCGCTCCCTGCATCTTTGTAGCAACGCAATCAGATTTCTGTCATTGTCTGCTAAGGCTTCTAGATGGGTGTTTCCTGCTCCAGTTACTAACAGGTCATAAGCTATAGCAGCTACTCCTTCCAGGCCCTCAATGATTTCATTTACATGTCTCTGAAATTCTTCTGGTGCGCTACATATGCCGAAGGGCATCCTATGCTATTTGTATCTCCCAAAAGGAGTGTGAAATGTTGTTAATTTGCTAGAGTCCTTGTCTTGCTTCACTCGCAGTTACCCATCTTTAGCGTCCAAGACTGTAAACTTTTGTGCTTTAGCAAGCTTGGAGGTCACATCATCGATAGTTGGAAGGCACAGCTTTGGTATTTTGACATGCTTGTTCAATTCTCTGGGATCCAGGCAAACACGTAGTTGGCCATTGCGCTTCTTCACATATACTGCACTGCTCACCCAGTCTGTTGGTTCATCAACTTTCGCTATGTGGCCTTTCTGCTCTACTTCATGAAGTTTCTTCTTGAGATCGTCTCTCAGTGCGACGGGTACGGTTCTAAGCGCATCTTGTTTCGGTACTGCTCCTTTTGTCAGTTCAATCTTGTCATTTCCAATGTACCCCAGCCCAGTGAATACATCATTGTGTTCTCGTAAAATAGCATCCTTGGTCAACCTTTTCACGTCAGAAACTGAGTTGACGAGTAATTCTCTTTTAATAGACAGGAGTTCCAACTCCTCACATGTTTTTCCTGATAACGGTGAACTTGGAGCATCATCAATCACTAAGAATTTTGCGCTGGTTATATTTCCACCAATCTGGATGTCAAGATAGACTTTACCATTGGGAAACACACGTTCTTCATTGTATGCTTTCAAAATGGCACGAGTTTTCTTCAAATCTGGTCGGTTTTGAATCTTTACAAAATCTTCCATTCTCAAACAATTAACCTCTGATCCGCTATCAATCTGCACGGTCACCTCAATCCAATTACTGGTCTGTTCACTTCTCAGCTGAGGTTCAATCATGTATTTAGAACGGCTGCTGTCAATGACTGAATACTTGCAGTAAACTTAATCATCAGTGATCGCTGGTTCGACTTCTTCAATTCGATGAATTCTCCTCGTAGGTTTGTTGGAAAAGCTCTTCACAGGTTTCTGTGTTCGCCTTTGAGATTCTCGACTTCTGCACATCTTAGGAAAAGGGTTCTTCATGTTACTCTTGCTGCATTTTTTTCCATAAGCCGGACACTGGCGTAAATTGTGGTACGTTCCACAATATTTACACTGTTTCACCGCTTAGACTCGTCGTGTCAAGTCTGGTTTCTTTCCTTTGTACTTGAGAGCGTGTGCTGAAGTTTCTATTTCTCCATCAATCTTTTTCAGTTGATCGCTGGCTGTTTCTGCAGCTCTAATTATGCTTAAGGCTGTATGGAGAGTGAGAGCCTTCTCACGGAGTAGTCGTCTTCTGACTTCATGGCTTTTGATTCCAATGACCAGTCTGTCTCGAATCAGTTCGTCACACAGAGCGCCATAAGCACAGGTTGACGCTAGCTTTCGCAGTCAGTTCAGGTATTGATCGATGTTTCCATTTTCTTGGTTGGCATTCTTCAACAGGTAACGCTCAAAAATAGTATTCCTTTGTGGTTCAAAATACTGCGTCAGGGCCTGCAAGAAACTATCAGGATCTGTGCGATCAGCTACAGGCAGATTTTTAGCTATTTGGTAAGTTTCTCTTCCCAGAACTATCTTAAGAGTTTCCAAAATGACTAGTTTGGGTTTCTTATCAGGTTCAGTCGCTATCTCATGACTCTCCCAACTCTCTCTGAAAAAAGTCCAGTTCTCTGCCAGGATCCCCTTGAGAGTCATTGGAGGTGGCATCGGTAACTGACTATACATCATCATCTGTGTAGGTAACACAATAGGTTGCGCTAGAGGTGCTTCTGGAGGATTCTCTTGCGCCAGAGGGTCCATTCTTTTGTTGTCCTCGTGAGACGTTCGCTTAGTGTAAGCTAGGCTCTTGCCTTTCGCAGAAATGCAGTTTCGTCAATGTGTGAACCTCGAAATTCACTTCAAATTTCATAAGTGGCAGTGTTAAGGCGTCTGGTCTCTCCAATAACACCACTGGATTCTTTTAGCGCCCGCGATTAATTCTTCTGTCTTCCCTTGGATCGACGAAATTTATCTTCAGTTTTGTAATCCACTTCCTGACACCTTGAAGTGTGGACGTCTTGTGTTCTGCAGCATACACCTTTATTGATATTTGTCGAGCTATACCAGCAACTAAACTACTCGCTACATATAGTTACAAGCTCGGCGTTTATAGGTACGGTCGAGGATCTAGAACGTTCCGTAACATTACAGCAGATTCTATTTATATATCGATTCGGGGATGACTCAGTATGACACAGCTACTTCTAGAACATTTTTGAAAGTCACACTACATCCTCTCTTCTTTACAAAGACTGACGAACAGTTCATTAAGGAAATCACGAGAAATCACATTGCTTCTTGCAGTCTCTTAAATGTCTCTAAGGTTATTTAAACAGAACGAAGTCTTTAAACTTTGAGTTTGGCTTCACTTGTCTCTGTGATCTTCTTACGCCTCGTCGAATCGGTACTAGTTCTGATTTTGATTTAATTTTTCTGTCACTCAACTGCATTTGTCCTGTTTCAATGTTAACTCCAGATAATTCTATGAATTTTGGCTGTGGGGCAGTTGGCAAGGCTGCATCTGACTGTGTGGGTGGACACACAGGAGAGTCTAAAGAAGGGTATGTAACAACGAGTTTGGGCATTGTCATTTCTCTAGTTTTTCTGATGTGACACCGATGTCTCCTGTACTCACGGCCATCGGCCTTCACTATGTGGGATCTGTCAGATTTTCTTCTGATCACACTTCCTCGTGTCCACAGGGGCGACGACTGAGGCCTGATCTTGGCGCAAGTACTATCTCCTACAACAAGAGGGTGTGGCGGCTTTCCTTTCTTATTATGGTACCTCTTGTTTTGTTGCTTCTTCTTGACTGAAGCTCGTATGATGCTTGAGGTTGGTATCACGTAGGGTTCAAGTAACTCTGATTTCACTGGTATAACTGTTCTTGTTCTTCTTGAATTCAGTTTCTCATTTGGTGATGCCAACTCATCAGGTGTATTCCTTTGTTCCAAAATAGCCATCCAGGGGTCGTGACTCATCTTGAGTATCCTCTTAGCTTGTTTGAGTGCAGCTTCCGCTGTACCGTTTCCTTTTGGATGGTGTGGTGAAGAGGTATAGCGATGAAAGCTCCAACTCTTTGAAAACTCCTTAAGTTCCTTGCAAGCATATTGAGGACCATTGTCTGATATCACCACCTCAGGGACTCCCTGCCGGGCGAAAACCTTCTTCATCTGTAAGATTGTGGACTCAGCATCAGTATCATTCAGTTGCTCTAAGTCCCAGTATTTTGTGAGATTATCCACAACTATCAAGTAAACGTCTTTCTTCACAATGAAAAGATCAGCACTGACTATTTGCCATCTTCTCTTTGAAGTAGGCTGGCTCTGCATGGTTTCTCTAAGTTGATCTGGCTTAGCTTCCTGACATAATGAACAGATATCGCAGAGATATTTGATATCATGATGAATCGATGGCCAATACAATGTATCTCTCGCGAGTCTCATGCATCCCTTTGCTCCTAGGTGAGCGGAGTCTGTTTTTTCTAACATCTGTGGGCGGATAGCCGTGGGAATGAGCACTTTCATTCCTCTGTAGATTATTCCAACCTGAACTGCTAGTTCATCTCTATACGGCCAGTAGTCTCGGACATTGCTTGGTAGTTGCGTCTTGTCCTCAGGCCATCAATTAGCTATAATTTCAGCTAAGGTCATGAGATTTCTTTCCCTTCTTTCTGAAGGGTTGTATCTGTCATGTTATGAAAGATATTTGGATCTGTTCCTTCGATCTCTTTCATGAGAAGTTCTTCTGCGTGAATTGTAAAGACTTCGTAATCACCTATTTCCTTCTTTTGCGTTCGGCCGTTTGGGAGGGCAGATCTTGACAGATGATCACTCATGTACATCTGAGTTCCCTTTTTGTACACAATATTCAGGCGGTACTTTTGCAGTCGCAGCATCATGCGTTGTAACCTCTTGGGCGCGCTGTTAATACTTTTGGCAAGTATGGTTTTTTCCAGAGGCTTATGATCTGTGACTGCTGTTATCTTTTCCCTTCCATGGAGATGGTGGTCAAATCGTGTACAACCAAACATCAGTGCGAGGCATTCCTTCTCGATCTGAGAGTAACGTCTCTCAGTCTCAGTCATAGTGCGACTAGCAAATGCCACTGGTCTGCCGGCTTGAAGCAGAACAGCTCCTAGTCCATAGTCACTTGCATCTGTCTCAATTGTTACTGTTTCCTCCAGATCGTAGTAACGGAGTAGTGGCGGTTCTGAAATCAGCTGAGTCAACTTGTTAAAGGCATCTTGGTGAACGTTCGACCAAATGAATTGGTTTTGCTCCTTGGTTAGGTTTCCGAGAGGTTCAGATACGTCAGACAGCTGAGGTAAAAATTTGCTCAGATAATTGATCATCCCAAGTAGTCTTCTCACCTCAGTCTTACTGCGTGGTATCGGCATCTGAGTGATGGCTTCAACTTTGGCTGGATTTGGTAAAATACCCTCAGAAGTCAAGATATGACCACAGTACTTCGACTTCTGTTGTTTGAAGACGAACTTGTCCTTGGTCAGTTTGAAGTTTCGCTCCCTGCATCTTTGTAGCAACGCAATCAGATTTCTGTCATGGTCTGCTAAGGCTTCTAGATGGGTGTTTCCTGCTCCAGTTACGAACAGGTCATCAGCTACAGCAGCTACTCCTTCCAGGCCCTCAATGATTTCATTTACATGTCTCTGAAATTCTTCTGGTGCACTACATATGCCGATGGGCATCCTACGCCACTTGTATCTACCAAAAGGAGTGTGAAATGTTGTTAATTTGCTAGAGTCCTTGTCTAGTTTCACTCGCAGAAACTCGTCTTAGCGTCCAGGACTGTAAACATTTGCGCTTTAGCAAGCTTGGAGGTCACATCATCGATAGTTGGAAGGCAGAGCTTTGGTATTTTGACATGCTTGTTCAATTCTCTGGGATCCAGGCAAACACGTAGTTGGCCATTGCGCTTCTTCACATATACTGCACTGCTCACCCAGCCTGTTGGTTCATCAACTTTCGCTATGTGGCCTTTCTGCTCTATTTCATGAAGTTTCTTCTTGAGATCGTCTCTCAGTGCGACGGGTACGGTTCTAGGCGCATCTTGTTTCGGTACTGCTCCTTCTGTCAGTTCAGTCTTGTAGTTTCCAATGTACCTTAGCCCAGTGAATACATCGTCGTGTTCTCGTAAAATAGCATCCTTGATCAACCTTTCCACGTCAGAAACTGAGTTGACGAGTAATTCTCTTTCAATAGACAGGAGTTCCAACTCCTCACATGTTTTTCCTGATAACGGTGAACTTGGAGCATCATCAATCACTAAGAATTTTGTGCTGGTTATTTTTCCACCAATCTGGATGTCAAGATAGACTTCACCATTGGGAAACACACGTTCTTCATTGTATGCTTTCAAAATGGCACGAGTTTTCTTCAAATCTGGTCGGTTTTGAATCTTTACAAAATCTTCCATTCTCAAACAATTAACCTCTGATCTGCTATCAATCTGCATGGTCACCCCAATCCAATTACTTGTCTGTTCACTTCTCAGCTGAGGTTCAATCATGTATTTAGGACGGCTGCTGTCAATGACTGAATACTTGCAGTAAACTCAATCATCAGTGATCGCTGGTTCGACTTCTTCAATTCGATGAATTCTCCTCGTAAGTTTCTTGGAAAAGCTCTTCACAGGTTTCTGTGTTCTCCTTTGAGATTCTTGATCTCGACTTCTGCACATCTTCGCGAAATGGTTCTTCATGTTACACTTGCTGCATTTTTTCCCATAAGCCGGACACTGGCGTAAATTGTGGTACGTTCCACAATATTTACACCGTTTCACCGCTTAGACTCGTCGTGTCAAGTCTGGTTTCTTTCCTTTGTACTTGACAGCGTGTGCTGAAGTTTCTATTTCTCCATCAATCTTTTTCAGTTGATCGCTGGCTGTTTCTGCAGCTCTAATTATGCTTAAGGCTGTATTGAGAGTGAGAGCCTTCTCACGGAGTAGTCGTCTTCTGAATTCATGGCTTTTGATTCCAATGACCAGTCTGTCTCGAATCAGTTCGTCACACAGAGCGCCATAAGCACAGGTTGACGCTAGTTTTCGCAGTCGGTTCAGGTATTGATCGATGTTTTCATTTTCTTGGTTGGCATTCTTCAACAGGTAACGCTCAAAATTAGTATTCCTCTGTGGTTCAAAATGCTACGTCAGGGCCTGCAAGAAACTATCAGGATCTGTGCGATCAGCTACAGGCAGATTTTTAGCTATTTGGTAAGTTTCTCTTCCCAGAACTATCCTAAGAGTTTCCAAAAGGACTGGTTTGGGTTTCCTATCAAGTTCAGTTGCTATCTTATAGCTCTCCCAACTCTCTCTGAAAAAAAACCAGTTCTCTGCCAGGATTCCCTTGAGAGTCATTGGTGGTGGCGTGGGTAACTGACTGTATATCATCATCTGTGAAGGTAGCACAATAGGTTGCGCTAGAGGTGCTTCTGGAGGATTCTCTTGCACCTCCTTCCTCGTGAGACGTTCGCTAAGTGTATGCTAGTCTCTGGCATTTCGCAGAAATGCAGTTTTCTCAATGTGTGAACCTCAAAATTTACTTCAAATTTCACAAGTGGCAACGTTGAGCCTTCCGGTTCTTCCTTCTTTTAGCGCCCGCGACTAATTCTTCTGTCTTCGCTTGGATCGACGAAATTTATCTTCAGTTTTGTAATCCACTTCCTGACACCATGAAGTGTGGACGTCTTGTATTCTGCAGCATACACCTTTATTGATATCTGTCGGGCTATACCAGCAACTAA